GAGGCAGGAGACTCGCTTGAGCCCAGGAGTTGGAGGTTGCTGTGAGCTTTGATGCCACAGCACTCTACCCAGGGGAACAGCTTGAGGCTCTGTCTCAAAAAAAAAGAAAAGAAAAGAAAAGAAAAATCACTCATCTAGAGAGTGAGCTGGATAGTTGAGATTTTGTAATGGCCTTTCTCTGTAAAAATTAGGTGCACTTTCTTCTAAGATACTTTCTTCTCTGCCCCCTGAGCCCAGCTCTCTGGCTTTTTCTTTTCTGTGCTCTGGTCTGACTTGTCCCCTTTTAGCTCACACAGCCTTGCTTCAAGTAAGGAGTGGCATGGTGGAAGAGAATGCCTTATCAGACTGCCACCAGTTCCACCCTGGCCTCTCAGAGATTGCCTTGGGATCACCTAGATAAGGGAGTCATCTAAGTTCCCAAACACAATACTGGTTTTGTTTTTTTCTCACCCATAACTTACCTGTTCCACTTATGTGGCTTTACATGTTGACCCAGAATGGCACTAAATGCTTGGCCCAAAGTAGGTACTCCACAAATATTCACTGAACAAGTGAAATTTAAGTGACTTGCTCAAAATTGCATCGAAATCAGTGGAGAAGAGAAACTAGTTCATCTGTACCTCATCATTAGCCTAGCAACTACCCTTGTAATATCCTTTGGTTCCATCGAACTGAAAGAAACAGTGAGTAAACTGCATTAAGTATGATTAATCCGGTAATTTTCTTATTTTCCTTGATCAAATATGTTGGACTTGAGTTGGTCTGTGTTGTATGGAGAGACTGTGACCTTACAAGTGACCCAGATGCACCATGTCGCATTCAGATCCCAAAACCTGGTGGAAGTAATTGAGGACTTAGCTGTTGGTTCATCCTCAAATGAAGAACCTCCACTGTAGGATATGACTACACCATTGGACTAGATGTTCAAGGCTGAAGTCACTTTTCTGCTTTCCCTCTCCCTACTAGGGAAATTCCCTCTACAAGCCCAGTTATGTAAAAAGGCCAATTTAGGATAAACTGCTGTAGGGCAGAAGAAGAGAAGTGGGTGCACCAAATACGTCTGATGTCTGCACTGGCACTATATTATCCTGTGGCCTTGGAGAACTTGAAACTAGAATTCTGGGTGCTGGAGAATTAGTTACCATGTGACCTCAGAGAAGTTGGAGCCAGAATTCTAGATTGGTGGGACATCTCCCCTTTCAATCCAAATGTCTCTTTTGGCCAAGGCTTTCTGGGAAGGTCATTCTTTCCCTCACACTGCATGAGGGGTCCGTTGGCCCTTTTTGAAGCCTCAGTTTCTTTTTTATCAGGGCACTTTGACTTTGATTTTTTTTTCCTTCTAAGACAACCAAGGTATGTACACTTCCTCCCATATTTGAGATTCTTCCTGTGAAGTCACTGAAGGTCAGGAACCAGACGCTGGCCCCACCCTTCCCGGAGCTGAGGTACCTTAGCGTGGCCTACAACAAGGTGACTTTCTGCTTCTCTGCAATTTCCTTGGGGGCACAGATGGGAGGGTGGGATGTGAGTTGCTCTGGCCTATAGACCAATCCTCCAATTACAGGTATGTGAGCTCAGGATAGAGAAAGTGAAGGGAGTTCAGGCCAAGGCTGGAGTCCATTCAGTCATAGATATTTATTTAGTACTTACCATGTGCCAGTCTCTGTGCTAGGCATTAGACATACATCTTTGGAAGGAAAGACTTGGCCTCTGCCTTTTTGGAGCTTATCACCTATAGGAAGGACTGATAATGGACACATCATCACAAGGATGTTTGGTGTTATGAAGAAATCCACAGTGCTATGAAATAGGTTATGGTAGGGAAGGGTCTAACTTATATTTGGGATCAAGGAAAGCGAGGTGAGAAATGTTCTAACCTAAGTTAACAGCAGATGTGAAGTCCAACAGATTTAACACATTTTTTTTTCTATGTTTCCAATATCCATGTCCTATTTGATTTTCTGTAAAATTCCACCAATTGAGCCTAACTTGAGTTTGAAATACAAAAATCTTTTAAGATACTCTGCTTACATTTCTTCTAAGGCAAGCAGTTGGTATGGCTAAATCCTAAAGTGTTTATTTCTAAGAATTTTATAACTTTAGTTCTTACATTTAGGTTTTTGTTCCATTTTGAGTTCATCTTTATGTATGACGTGAGATAGGCATCAACTTCATTCTTTTGGATGTGGGTATCCAGTATTCTCAACTCCATTTATTGAAAAGACACCTGTTTCCTCTACCAAATGATCTTTATAATCTTGTTGAAAATCAGTGGACCGTATATGTATTATGGATCACTCCTCTTGAAATTGGTAATTTGTGTCTTTTCTCCTATTTTATTGACCCAGAATAGTTGGATGCTATCCTTTTTGTTGACTTGTTAAAATTAAATATGCTGCTGTTTTTACTAGATTTCTCTATTATTTGTCTGTTTTCCATTTCATTGATTTCTGCTCATACTTTTATTTCTTTCTTCTACTTATAGCAAATATGCTATGTTCTTCTTTATCTAGCTCCCTAAAGAGTATAGTTTTAGACTGATTAAGATCTTCCTTGTTTCTGGTATAAACATTATAAATTTCTTCTCTCATTGCTTTGTAAAGCTATGTTCTACAAATTGCAATATATTGTGTTTTTTTCATTCAATTTAAGTATTTTAGTTTTTCTTGTGATTTCTCCTTTGACCCATGGGTTATTTAAATGTGAATTGTTCAATTTCAAAATACATGGGGCTCTTCTAGATATCTTGTATTTATTTCTAATTGAATACTGTTATGGGTAGATAACTATAAGATTTTATTCTTCTGAAATATATTTAAACTTTTTTAAATCTTCCACCCTATGGTCTATCTTGGTGAACTTTCCATGTACACTACAGGAAAAATGTACTCTAAAGTTTTGGGGGGTTGTGTTCTATAAATATCAATTAAGTTCTATAAATATCGATTAAGAAGATCTGGTAGTGTCACTCAGATCTTCTCTGTACTTTTGTCTATTTGTCCCATCAATAACTGAGATAGTACGTTAAAATTGCTAGTTGTGATTGTGGATTTACTTATTTCTCCCTTTAGTTGTGTCAGTTCTTTTTGTTTGGTTAGTTTTTGAGACAAAGTCTCACTCTGTTGGCCCTAGAGTGCCATAGTGTAGCTCACTGCAACCTCAAACTCTTGGGCTTAAGTGATCCTCTTGCTTCAGCCTCCTGAGGGGCTGGGATTATAGGTGCCCACCACAAATTCTGGCTATTTTTTAGAGACTGGGTCTCACTCTTCTCAGGCTAGTCTCAAACTCCTGAGCTCAAGCAGGCTACCTGCCTGGGCCTCCTAGAGTGCTAGGATTATAGGTGTGAGCCACCACACCTGACCTATCTTGTCTGATTTTAATACTGCTACATGGCTTTTTTTTTTCATTGTTTGGGATTCATTGAGGGTACAAAGAATTACGTTACACTGATTGCCATTGTTTTCTACATAGCTTTGTTATGCTTACTATTTGCATCGTGTATCTCTTTCTATCTTTTAATAATACTTGCAACCTATATATTACATATCTTTATGGTTAAGGTGCATCTCTTTTGGACAGCATGTAGTTGGCTCTTGTAAAGGTTCCAGGGTATTTTTCTGAGTGTTCCTGCTCTGTCTTCATCATTAAGCCTTTCTCATATGCCTGTACCTCAGATGGGTTTATTTCCACATTGTTGTTCCTACCCTCAGCAGTGAACTGCTTTGCTTGTTACTTAGTGCTTGCTAGCCTGCTTTTAAGGGACCAAAGAGAGGCTCCAGCCCATCTTAGGCAGTCCTGGGTCCCTGTGTCTTAAGGATTGGCCTTTCTCAGTGGTCCTACCCCTCTCCCACTAGTAGGAGACCTCTATCTCTAATATACTAGGCCCAGATTTCCTGCCCTTACCTGTGAGTACTAGGTTTTTATTATATGTCTTCCTTAAATGCAGTGCCCTGGGCCAACAAGGTTTACTGAACTTCTTACTAAAGGCTTTTGTTCACTGGGCAGAAAGAAGGGCTGGCAAGGCTTCCTGCCATTCCTGCAGTGGCCCTATTCCCCTACAGGCCCACACCACCAAGGAAGGCTGTCTCCAGGCTCTCTCCTGCCTCCAATCTTTCCTGCCCAAGTAGGTGTGAGCTCCTCTGGTGTCTGCAGCTCTCAGGGGTTCTACTCTGTTACTCTATGCCACACCCAGTTTTTAGCAATTCATTAAAATTTGTAGCTGGTTTCTTAAATGCTTGTGTGGCACTCACATTCTGCCACAGCTGAGCTGATGTCCATGTCCCGTCTCTCCTTGGAGGTGTTTGGATTCAGTCTTTCCTTAGATTTCAGGCCATGTAATTGCCCTGAGACCTTAGGTTTCTGTCAGATTCAAAAAGAGTTATGAATTAGGTTATTTAGGTTCTTTTTCTTGTTGTTAAGGTTGGAACATACATTCACATTTGAGTTTTTAAATGATGGTGTGGGTTTTGTTTTGAGACAGAGTCTCACTCTGTTGCCCAAGCTAGAGAGCCATGATGTCAGCCTAGCTTATAGCAACTTCGAATTCCTGGGTTAAAGTGATCCTCCTGCCTCATCCTCCTGAGTAGCTGAGGCTACAGGTACTTGCCACAACACGCCAAGTGGCCACCACATCACCTGGCTAATTTTTCTATTTTTGGTAGAGATAGGGTCCCACTCTTGTTCAGTCTGGTCTTGAGCTCCTAAGCTCAAATGATCCTCCCACCTTGACCTCCTAGAGTGCTAGGATTACTGGCATGAGCCACTGTGCCTGGCATAAATCGCATTTTTGTTTATGACCATCTAACAAATTGTATATCTTATTATTATCAGTGGTCCACTACTGTAATTTTTTTGAACACTAGAACTTTAGTTTATATCTATATTCTCATCATTTAGAATATTACTTGATACATGATAGATGCTCAATAAGTTTGTTAGATGACTATTTAGATCATGTTAAGAAATAACTACTTGTATTGAAGTTAATATTCAATTTATTAAAGTTACAAACTTTAAAATCAATTCTGCCTTCAAATAGAACCTATATAACAGTTGTCCAGAAAATATATAACCATGTAACATGAAAAATAGTGTTAACAATGGCTGGATACTTTCTGGACAGTCCTTGTACATGTAGAATATTCACTCAGAACTCTAGGAGTTTTTTGTGTTAAAAGTAATCACTTTCATTTAATCTTTAATATTTACTTGGTTCATAAATTTGATAGATTGTTATATTCTCCTTAACCCAATGAGATTGAACAGAAATTTAAAATTATCATTGGAACCTGAATGTATTTCCAGAAGCATTCAACTCATCCTGTAGAGAAAAGGGTAGCCCAATGGCCAGATTCTATTGGCACATCAGCCTGATTCCTAAATCCATATCTTTCAACTGGGGTTGCATTTCACAGAAAATATGATACACATACTCTGGATGTAAGTCAAATTTTTAAAATCAATCTTAATTGTAATTTTCTTGAACTTCAGTGGATGGAATTTTGCATCCTAACAAAATTAATTATCCATCCTCTATTTTGTAGTTATTGCCTCTTAACCCCCTGATTTGTACATAAGAGATTCTGCACCTGGCTCGGTGCCTGTCGCTCAAGTGGTTAAGGCGCCAGCCACATACACCTAAGGTGGTGGGTTCGAATCCAGCCCAGCCCGCCAAACAACAATGATAGCTGCAACCAAAGAAAATAGCCAGGCGTTGTGGCGGGCGCCTGTGGTCCCAGCTACTTGGGAGGCAGAGGCAGGAGACTCATTAGAGCCTAGGAGTTGGAGGTTGCTATGAGCTGTGATGCCACGGCACTCTACCCAGGGGAACAGCTTGAGGCTCTGTCTCAAAAAAAAAAAAAAAAGAGAGAGATTCTGCACCCAATTTTACCACCTTTATAATCATTTGTCCACACATATGAGGCACCTTTATAGGTTTATTCTCCTCCTCTGGAGACTAGTTAAGAGATCAGCAGACAGTTTTTGTAAAGGGCCAGATAATAAATATTTTACTCTGTTGCAACTACTTAATTCTGCACTTGTAGAACAAAAGGCAATATACAAATGAATGAGAAAGGCAATGTTCTAATACAACTTCATTGAACAGGTGGTGGGCCAGATTTGGCCCAGGGACTGTACTACATATTCGTCAAGCCTGATTTGGGTACAGCTTGTGTGTTCAGTGATTTTTATATTTTTAAATGGTTAAAAAAATCAAAACAAAGATAATACTCCGTAACATGTTAAAATTACATCAAATTCAGATTTTAGTCTATAAGTAAAATTCTCTTGGAAAAGAGCTACCACACCTGTTAGGGTGTGAGCTAGTGCACAGAGTTTTGAGAAAGATTTCTCCAAAGATTAGGATAGAAGTTAGTTATTTACTTTTTCCTAGGCAGAAAAAGTACCAACACAGTAAAAGAAAGGGAGATAGTGTTGGCAGAAAGAATCGGGTCATTGTAAAGGGAGGTGAAGAAGATTTATGACTGTAAGCAAATTAACAGGGTACTGTGACATTGCTGTATCCACTACTCCTGTCTTCTTAGCAGCTGGATGATAAGCAGTTGCCTTGCCATCAGAGAGAGGCTCATCACAGGTGATTGTGATTCTGTTGGTGATTCTGCCCTTGAGATATGATTTTGAGTAGGAACCGGGGCCTGTAGCTGGGGAGGGAGCACTGTTGGTTCAAGAACTCCCTAAGTGTGTTGAAGCAACTTCTAAAAGGCAGTTTCTGGTGAGTGTGAAGAGAATATATTTTCTTTCTATTAGGCTCTTTTCAGATATTGTAAAAAGGGAACCCCAAGGGGCATCTGTCAGCTGATCAGCTGGGGGTGGGGTGAAGCAAGCAGGCAAGCATGAGAGTGCTCATATGATCAATTTTAGCCCTTACTGAAAAACTATGAGTTAGTACTTTTTCTGTTATTGTGCTATTAAGGTTGTGCATTCAACACCTATTTGTTAGGAATTGTCTGTAGCTGTTTTTGTGCAATAACAATAGAGTTGAGTTGAGTTGCAGCAGGGACCATGTGGTCTGCAAAGCCTAAAATGTTTAATATCTACCTTTGACAGAAAAGGTTTGCTAATGCTGTCTGGTCTAGGTCCAATATTAAAGTCTCTCAAGGCCCCCAGCCCACTTCTAGTCCCTTTTCTTTTCTCGCTGTCTCCTCTCTTCCTAGGGATGATTTCAGATACCCATTGGCCCATGCTTAGTGACTCAAAAATTAATAACTCAACAGGGAACTCTCCTCTGTATTTCAGACCAGTGATTCAAATGTCTACTTGACATTTCTACTTAGAGGTCTGAAAGGTACTTCCAACGTGCATCTATCCAAAGTGAATTAATGATTTTTGTTTTAAAATTTTGTCCTTTAATTGTTCCCTATCTTAGTGAATAGCTCCGTCATTCATCCAGTTACTCAAGCCAAAACTTGGTTGTCACTCTTCATACTTCTCTCTCCTTTACATCACCTCCCTCCCCCGACCCTGGCCATATCTTATCTCTCACCAAGTCTTGTCAAATTTAGGTGCTCATATTTCTGAAATCCACTTAAAGGATTCCCGAATGACCAAAATCTTTACCTACCTTTGGTCTGTGCCTACTTTGCATCTCCAGCCTCATTTTGCAGCAAGCACTCTCACTCTCTCTGCTTTTAGTCGCGCTTGCTTTCTTTGAATTTCTTCAGCAGGCTATGAAGCCTTTCACATCTTGGTCTCTTTGCATAGAGTACTTCTCTGCATTAAAGTAATACTAGCTGCCACAACAACCTTAAACATCATAATCACTTAACACAATAAAGTTTATTTCTTGATTTTACAAAACGCATTGTGGATATTTCTGGCTGAGCCCCAAATTCCCTCTAGCCATAGCTTTGTCATCTTGTAGGGTCATACGACAGCTTTATTGGACCCCATGTCTCTGGTGGGTGCAGATGGTTGAGCAGGGAGAGTATGGTAGAGGAAGTAAAGGAATTACAAAAGGTTTTGTAGGAGCTGTGCCTGCAAGTAGCATTTATCACTTCCATCCACGTTGTACTGGCTAGAACCAAGTCACACCTAACTGCCTGGGAGGCTAGGAGACAATCTAGCTGTGTGCTACAGGTAGAGAAAATGGTTTGTAATACAGAGATGTCTGTGCCATGCACTCCATCCCCCTACTGCATCCACTAAATTACCTCCTATGCCTCCTTTAGATCTCAGGGCCACCTTCTCTTACCTCTCCGACTAGGCCAGGTCACCCTAGTAATTCACTCAACCTCTCTTTTGTGGCATTTACCACAAATTTAAATTTCCTCTTTTGTGTTACTACTTGTTCAGTGCTTTTCCCACTGGACAGCACTCAAGGGCAGGAATGGTAACTGTTTTGTTCAGCAAAGTGCTTGGCACATGGTAGGTATTCAGTAAATATTTGTTGGTCAAATGAATAAAAATGAAAGAGAAGTTAGTTGCTTAGTGGAAATCCTCATACTCCCCAGTGGGGCTCCAGAAGAAGTCAGAGTAAAGTGCCCTCCCACTTCCAGCCCTTGGACCTTAGTGCCTTCAGAGGGTCCTGCATCTGACCAGGGCTATCATTATGTTCTGCCCTACTTTCTGGCCCTGTGATACTGATGGCCCTGATACTGTTACATTGCTAGTAGATGCCCTCCCCAAGATAGTCCTCAGATGTTCCAGGTACTCTGCTCAACAAGGGATATGTATTTTTTGCCCCTCAGATGCCAGCCTGGCCAATAAGCCACCACTTGCAGGCTGGCTTCACAGGACACCCTCTGCGTCCCAGATAGCTATGAAGTCTCCCTTCTCACTGATTCTGCTTATCCTTTAGATATGTGGGTCCCTCTGACCTCTCGTTTCCTCTCCCCCCAGTGTTAGTGCCCAGGACTGGCCTCAAAGAACAAGGCCATCAGGAATGCTATTGACAGACTGATGGGGTGTGTAGAGGTTTGCATTGAGAAAGGTGAAGTGTCAGGCAAATTGTATCCTAAAGTCAAAGTCATCCTTCCAGACTCTTTGTGGAACAAGTGCTCTGCGTGTTTGCTATTGTTTTGTCACCAACATTCCCAATATTTAATATAGGCTACATACCCAATGTGGAGAAGGGAGAAAAATTCTTAATGCTTAAACTTGAAACAGTGATGGTAGAATTTCACACAGGAGGGGCGAGGTATTGTGGGCATAAGCAGGTGATACTTCAGGGATAAGGCATTTCCAACAGTGAGTCCCATCTACAGCAGCAACTCTTCCCCCACCAGTCTTAACAAGCACATACCCCTGCAAGATGGGGCCTGGATGTACCTAGGCAGAGGTGAAGAATGGTGTCAACCTGATGATCTCTTCTGCATTGGTTACAGATTGCAAAGGAGGATGCCGTCCTGCCAGTAGCTCTCTTCCCATCTCTCTGTGAGCTCATCTTTCATAACAACCCTCTGGTGGCCCATACACGAGGTATGGTGCCCACAAGGCTGTGCCTGCTAAGCCAGTGCCCAAGGAGCAATATGGGCATCCTCACTGCCACTTCACTGGGAAGGCCTGGACTCTGCTCTGTGTCAGGGTGGACAAGGTTCATGGTACACTGGGAAAAGGAGAAATAGTGCTCAGCAGCTATTCTGCACCAGCTCATCCTGACAGTTACCTTTTGAGCCAGGCATTATTGTTCCATGGACAGTGTGGAAACTGAAGCTTAGGGAGGTTTATAATCTGTCCAACATCACACAGCAAGAAAGAGGCAGAGCTGGGAATGGAATACTAAATTACCTAGATCCTGCATGACCTCTGCTTTGTGGAAAAGGACTGTTGTGACTTCATTTCCCATTCCCCAGCTGGAGAGGCGTGCAGGCCCAACTGCAGGGCACTCATTCGGAGCACACTGAATGCAGCGATGCTATGTTAGCGGTGGAGCATACTGTCCAGAATTCAGCAGCTAGAGGAATTATAGGGTCCTAGGCCCTAGGGTGACACCAGTGACATTCTAATCCTTGTTCTACATGATCTTTGTTACCTTGGGCAAATGTCTTAACCTCTCTTTATATCACTTTCCCTGCCTGTCAAATGGGAATAATATAGTTCCTATCTCCTACAGTGCCTGGCACATAGTAAGCCCCAGTATAAATGTCAGCTATTAGTAATCTTATTTTCCAATCATGGCACCAGGGGTCCCTCCACTGCTGAAGAGCTTCCTCCAGGAGCGACTGGGGATCCACTTAATTCGAAAGAAGACGATGGTAAAGTCTAAGCATCATATTTTGATGCCTCAGAAGGAATCGCGGAAGGTAAGGCTTTCAAGGCAGGACTCCCACCCTCAAAAGGAATGAGCCTATTTTAATGCATGCAGACTAACTGAGTGATAGGGCTGCTCTCTTCCATGATGCCTAGAATCTTTCCTTTAGGTTCAGTTCTCCTTTTCTTACTGTTAAATATAGATATAACCAGGAGGGGCAAGAAAATCAAAGTTAAGATTATATAGGTTATTCAGGTTCTTTTTTTTATTGCTAAGGTTGGAAAAGCACTTTCCATTTTTCTACATTTGCAAATTGAGTATTTTGGTGTTTGTTTGCAGTTTTTGGCCAGGGCAGGGTTTGAACCCATCACCTCTGATATATGGGGCCAGCACCCTATTCCTTTGAGCCCCAGGTGCTGCCTGCAATTGAGTGTTATTTTCTTTCTTTTAAGACAAGAGTCTCGGCTCGGCGCCTATAGCTCAACCGGCTAAGGCGCCAGCCACGTACACCTAAGGTGGTGGGTTCGAATCCCCAGCCCGGACCCGCCAAACAACAATGATGGCTGCAACCAAAAAATAGCCGGGCGTTGTGGCGGGCGCCTGTGGTCCCAGCTACTTGGGAGGCGGAGGCAGGAGACTCGCTTGAGCCCAGGAGTTGGAGGTTGCTGTGAGCATGATGCCATGGCACCCTACCCAGGGGGACAGCTTGAGGCTCTGTCTCAAAAAAAAAAAAAAAAAAAAAAAAGACAAGAGTCTCATTCTGTTGCCCAGGCTAGCATGCTGAGGCATCAACCCAGCTTACAGTAACCTCAACTCCTAGGTTCAAGCAGTCTTCCTACTTCAGCCTCCCAAGTAGCTAAGAATGCATGCGCCAGCCACAATGCCTAGCCAGTTTTCCTATTTTTAGTATTAGCTACCATGTCCAACCCTAAATTCAATCTGATTCCAGAGGCACATTTTGCAGAAATTTTTGAAATTCTAGATGAAAGAGGAATTTGACTTATTATGCGGTATCTCAGAAGACAAGTGTAACAGCACTTGTCTGGGAAAGTTAGAAGAGGCAGTAGATTGCTTCCATAATAAGGAAACACCTCCTTAAACTTTTGACTGCAAAGACTGCTGGTCAATATAAAAATGTTCATTTGGGGGTGCCCATGCTCAGTGGTTAGGATGCCCACCACATGCTCTAGGGCTGGTGGGTTTGAACCTGGCCTGAGCCTGCTAAACAAACAAACAAACAAAAAATAGCCAGGCCTTGTGGCGGGCACCTGTAGTCCCAGCTACTAGGGAGGATGGGGCAAGAGAATTGCTTGAGACCAAGGGTTTGAGATTGCTGTGAGCTGTGACGCCATAGCACTCTACCGAGGGTGACAAAGTAAGACTCTGTCTCAATAAAAGCAAACAAACAATAACAAAAAAAGTTCATTTGGTGTGAATGACACCTACAGGTGTTGTTCATTTTATAAATAAAAATACATGTTACTGTTATGTTTGTTACCTGACTTGAGTCTGGATGCATCAAATGCTTTGTTCTCAGTATTTTTCATAGTTGTGCCTGAAATAACTGAAACCAACTTGGGTAAATTATTTTGATTAGTAAGAAAGCGAAGGATGTCCAGTAACAGTTGTTGCGATTGCTGCACACTTCTATTGGCACATTTCCTTCTGAGCACTCCGCAGTCAAAGGGTAAAGATTCAGGCAGAAGACATACTCTGGTCCTGGTATAGCCATTCTTAATTTTTGTAGGTGACTATAACTTGCATTGAGACGAGTATGGGAGTTTATAATGTATTTTCATATCTGTTGTTTTATGTCATCCTCTGAGTAGCTCTGAGAAGTTTTAGAGTTGAGAAAACTGAAGCTCAGAAAGTGAAACTCTTGCCCAAGGCCAGGCAGCTATGGAAAGTGATGGAGCCAGGCTCATCCCTGAGTCTTTTGACTTCAAGGCCGATTTCTCCCCACTTCTCCACAGCTCCTTCTTTGGGCCTTAGTTTCTCTGTAAAATAAGGAGGTCAGACTCAGTGACCTCCAAGACTGCTCCCTACTCTAACTTTGATTTTAGTCTTTCTACAGCTAAAAGCTGCACTGAGGCTTGCTGATCCCCAAAATGAAATACACTTTATTCCTTTGCTACCTCCTCTACAGCCTGCCTCTGTCCTGTAAGCTCATCTTAAATCCTGACAGGACTGGAGCAAGCATTGAAAGTCTGAATAGAACTCGTTTCCTCACACATAAAATGAAGATAACTATTCATTTGGTATAAATAGAACAACTAATGTCATGCATAGGGCATATGATAGATGGCAAACATGTATGATTTCCCTCTCTGCCTCCCTGAGTCCTTACCCAGTGCTCTGACTGCGATACAAGTAGCCTGAGGCTAGTATAGCCCACAGGGAGAAATCCCCAATTAGAGAGCAAATCCAATCCAGCCCTTCTTCCATGACAGGTGAAAACTCAAGTCCCAAAGGTGCCAAAGCAGCCTCTGCTACTCCACCACTCACGCATGACAGCAATCAAGTCTCCCTCCAGGAATATGCTGGAGGCAGAGGCAGAGGTAGATGAAGAGCTGCCTACTGCCCAAAGCACTTCTCTGGAGCCACACATACCCACCGAGGGCCTAGAAGGCCTTTCCCTCTCACGCCGGACCTTTGTGCCACTGCCTCCCATCTGCTCTGACTCCACCGTGCATAGTGAAGAGACTGTGTCCCGCCCAAGCGACACAGCTGTCCACCTCAGCCCAGATCAGCCGTCAGATGAGGACACCAAGAGCACAGAGTCCATCTTCCTGACTCAGGTACCTGTATCCAGTTGCCCTTGCCCACTTATTGCCAGCTCCCACAGGTTCCTGCACAGCCCTCAGCTGGCTGGACTGTTGTGGGTAACTAAGAACAAGCATATGCTGAGTCTGTAACCAGAAGTCAGTACCCTTGGCAGGGCTTAGAAATCCCTCTGGGAAAGCCACTGATCTGAGGCTACTGATGGGGGCACATCATGGTCCTGTAGTACTGACAAGACCTAGGGTCTAACTGGAGTGTGGTTCTCACTAGTTTTTTGGAATAGTTTGCTGCAGCCTCTATGCTATGACCTCTCTGCCTAAGGTCACCTCACACTTTTGATGCTGCCTCTGGATCCTGGAAAGACAGATGGAGCAGACACAGGTCCTCCCCTCAAGGTGCTGTCAATCTGATGGGAAAGATGGACAACCATACATGCAATTGGTGCTGAGATTGAGGGAAACCCAGGCACTGTGAGCCAAGAAGAAGGAAGGATGTCTCTGCCTCAGACCAGGAGGGCTTCCTAGAAGAGGTTCAAATGAGCTGAGCTTTGCAGGCTGAGTAGGAATAACAAGGGAAAGAGCTGGCAGAAAGGGCATTCTGGGTAGTGGGAACAGCGAGAAGCAAGGCATAGGGGAGGGAGATTGAAATGGTATAAGCAAGAACCACAAATGTTCAGTGTCAGTGCAGCAGAAGGGTGGCATGTAGGGAAAGGGAAATACAAGGCTGGAAGAGGTGGCTGTATTATTGTACCATGCCTCTCCCTGCCTCTAGTCTTACCCCTCCACTGCTGATCTTTCCAGGACGTACAATTACATCTTACTCACTTATCCACTCATCTCTTTTATTATTCCACAAATGACTTGTAGCAACATATAAACTCATGCAGCATAAAAGTATCTTTATGAACTACCTCAGAACCTTTCTGGAACAATGAAGAATATAAAAAAATAAGTATTGGCTCAGTGACTGTAGCTCAAGTGGCTAAGGCGCCAGCCACATACACCAGAGCTGGCAGGTTCGAATCCAGCCTGAGCCTGCCAAACAATGACAACTACAACCAAAAAATAGCCAGGCATTGTGGCGGGTGCCCGTAGTCCCCGCTACTTGGGAGGCGGAGGCAAGAGAATCACTAAGCTCAAGAGTCGGAGGTTGCTGTGAGCTATGACGCCATAGCACTCTACCCAGGGTGACAGCTTAAGGCTCTGTCTCAAAAAAAGAAAAAAGAAACAGTTGAGAGTTAGATGAAAGGAGAATATGGACAAGAAAAGAAGTAATAAGTACAAGGGTACTCTGTCACTCAACGTGTACATCATGCATAGTAAAAGTGTATGGCTAATGTAGTTCTGAGCTCCTAGCAGCCAAAGCAATGCAGACGTGAGTCACCATGTTATTCATTTAAAAAAAAACAACAAACACTGAAATTGTTTTTTCTTGCCTAATTGCCCTAGCTATAACCTCCCATGTCGAATAATAGAAGTGGTGAGAGCAGATAATCCTTGTCTTGTTCCTGTTCTTAGGAGAAAGCACTAGTCGTTCATCCTCAGTTATGATGTTAGCTGTGGGTTTTTCAGAGATGCCCTTTATCAAGTTCAGATGCCCTTTATCCAGTTCTTTCCACTCTTGGTTTACTGATTTTTTTTTTTATCAAGATATATTGGATCTTCTTTTTCTGTATCTCTTGAGATGATAAGGTGGCTTTGATCTTTCAGTCTATTGATATAGTGTATTTCATTAATTGATTTCCAGATGTTGAACCCATCTTAAATTCCTGGGATAAATCCCTGTTTGTCATGGTGTATAACCCTTTTTACTTATTGAATTCAGTTTGCTAATATATTTGAGGATTTTCACATTTATTAATGCATTGGTCTGTATTTTTCTTTTCTTGTATTTCTCTAGTTTGAGTTTTGGGGTAGCACTGATTTAAAAAAATGAGCTGGGAAGTGTTCCCTCTTATAAATTTTGGAAGAGCTTGTGAAGAACTAGTATTCTTTAAATGTTTGATAGAATTCAGTAGTGAAACCATGTGGTCCTTGGCTTTTCTTTGTGAGTAGTTTTAAAATTACTAATTCAACCTTTTTACTTGTTATACATCTATGCAGATTTCCTATTTCTTTTTGAGTAGGCCATTTTAATTGAGGCTATAACTATATCCCTAAGTGAAATATAAGTCTCATGTTTCTTATAAAGCCATTAGGATAGGATGAAATCTTCCATGGCTTGTCATCAGAGTAAGAATAAAGAAAATGCAAAATAAAACACAGCTTGGCACAGAACAACTCTTGACTACTCTAGTTGTCTGTCTCTTCACGTTGTATTCCAACTATGCCAATCTTTAGTTCCTCCACATGCACCTGGAGGTTTCTGTACCTTTGCTTATGCTGTTCCTGGCCTGTACTATGAGTCGTTGTTTCTCATCACCTGCAGTCCACCCTCTTCCCACTCTGGGCTGGGAGTAGCTCTCCTGGCTCTTTAAGACTTAGCTCAGGTAAGGGTATCACTTCCCCTAGGGAGCTTCCAGGCTGAGTTGGGGCTTCCTCTGGGATCACTCAAAACTGTTGTCTCTCCTCTGTTAACAGCATTTATCAAGGTATTTGGTCCTCGTCTATTTTCATGTATGCCTCCTTCCATCTCAGTCTTGGTCTTGCCCCTTAACAGGCCCAGCATGGGGACCAGCATGGAGCTGATGTTCAGAAGTCTTCATGGAATGAATGAATATTCTTCTTCCTGGGTATAGGTGAATGAGCTGCCTTCCACCATCATGCATAGGGATGATTTAGAGGAAAAGGAGAAAGACCAAAGAAGACCACCACCAACACCCAAAGAGATGAAGAGGACTCGGAGAAAGCTCCCATCCACCTCCCTCCCCAGAAAGTATCATGGCTATGAGGAGCTGCTGACAACCAAGCTGGATCCAGCTTTCGTTGAGCCAAAGGGTATGTGAGGGCATACCTTTGCTCCAGGGCAAGGGGCTGTCTCCACAGCCCAGAGCAATCAAGGCCAAGCCAAGGATGATTCCAGGACTTCTTTTCCCAGCAAGAATGCTGTCTTCTGTCTAGATGTCTGTCAAAGGGCTTCTTGCATATCCTAGCCCTACATGTTAGGAACCTTGTCCTGGCTTGAGCCCTCACCTGATTTGGGGGAGCCACAGCTTTTTCAGAGATTCCAACTGGTCTGTGCCCAGCTGCTCTGGATGGAAAAGTCATCAGAAAAGTTTTGATGACCAAACACCCAAACAGGCCAGATTCTTGGGCTTTTCCTAGCCAAGTCCCAAACTGACATCCCAAATCCCATTCAGTTGAGATAAAGGAGGCAGCCTCCTCTCTGAGCCTCTAAGACTGATATGTTAACAGTGTTTGTGCTTCTAAAGGAGCTGGCACTCAGCTGGACTCTAGGGTGTCAGTCCTTTTGGTGTAACCCCCTAAAGTTAACAGTGCCACACTGGGGCCAGCCCTTTTCCCTACTCTAGTGCTATCTTTCCATTAGGATCTGTGCTCATGTGGGATAAGGATTCACTGAAGAATGATAGACCCTCAGGCACTGTAGCAGATAGGGAGAGATCAGGGAGCAGTGTTTTCTTCCTGGGGAGCTTTCACACCCCTTCACTTAGAGCTGCAGTGAGACTAGGGAATGAAGAAATCAGGAGCGACATGGGGGGTAGGGAGCATGTCTTGACTCAGTCTTAACTTACGGTCCTAGGAATCCAGAAGAATGCACAGGCCCTGCAGCATATGCTGAAGCACCCGATCCTATACCGCTCTTCCAAGCCCAAGCTGGACGCTTTCCAGAAGCACTATGTTCCCAAAGAGAGACGGGTAAGCATTCAGCTGAGTGTGAGTGGGCCTCAAGACCCCCACAGGTACGGATGCAAGCCACCTCAGGACCCTCTGGGGGCCTTGCTTTCTCAGTGTGCCCCACGGGCTCCCCTGTCTGTTGCTGTTACTGAGCATGAGGTCTGAGCATAAGCTTGAGCTAATACCTTCCTCTCTTATCTTTCTGTCAGGCCCAGAGAATCCCTATTCCACCCCAACGGAAGACTCGAGGCCAGCTGCTGGATGACATCCTCGTTCGCATGCGGGACCCTCGGAACATTACAGAGGCTCCACTAGGTATGGTTGTGCCACAGCTGCCAGGACTCAAGATCCAGCAGCTTACTCATCTGCTGGGTAAGGCAAAGAAAGGGCTTGCAACAGAGCAGGAAGAGGTCGTCCACCCCAGCCCTCTCCATGTGGGACAACTGAGACCCAGAGTGAGGGGATTGCCTAACAAGCAGTGTGACTTTGGGCAATCCCCTCACTCTGGGTCTCAGTCAGCATGTTAGGGTGCTGAACCACTGTTTAATATAGAACCAGGAGGGATACTGCTGACTTCTCACTGGCCCATGCTGAAAAGGCCATCTTCGCCCCTCTGAACATCCTCCTCCCATGCCCTCCCACTTTCTAGGGGTCTCTGGACCCAATGCTGCTGCTTCAGGTTAAGTGGGAACCAGGACAAGCTTGGTGCCTCTCCTGTTTCTCTCTCTGCAGGCACCGTGCTGCGCAGGAGGACTGAGCAGCGGCTGGCAAACCAGCAGCAGTACCTGGAGGCCAAACGCCTGCTGAAGGAGTTTCGAGCTCGCTACCGGCGGCTGGTGCGCTGCTCACTACGGAAGGTGTTTGGGGCCACCCCACTGCCACCAACCTGCCCTGCGCTGAACGAGGGCCAGCCCAAGTTTGGCCGCTTCCTGGAGTTCATGGATGAGTTCTGCCAAGAGCCCACAGCCAGTGACACAAAAGACTAGGGGTGTGTATCTCCTGGCCTGCACCCCAGCCCTCTCCAGGGGCCCTCAGGGCCTCACAGCTCAGTTCAGCTGCTCACTGGTAGCAGAGAGTGGGGAGCTCGTCAGGACCTCCCCTCCCTGGGCATGACCCAGCACCTGGCCCAGCAGCAATAAAGAGTGGGTGCATAGAGCAATAGATTGGGTGCCACACATTCTTTCCTGAAACCTGGGCCATGGCGGCATTGTCACACTTCCCCTTCAAATTAGCCTTCCGAGTTTAGATGAAACAGGTATACGCTTTTTTTCTCTGTTGGATGGGAAACTGATGTGGGGGGGGGTTGATGAATTCTGAACAATGACTCCAAAAAAGGACATGTTAAAAAGTCAGATGTTCTGGCCAGGCGCAGTGGCTCACACCTGTAATCCTAGCACTCTGGGAGGCCAACGCTGGTGGCTAGCTTGAGCTCACAAGTTTGAGACCAACCTGAGCAAAAGTGAGACCCCCGTCGCTATTAAAAATAGGAAAAACTGAGGCAAGAGGATAGCTTGACTCCAAGAGTTGGGAGGTTGCTGTGAGCTATGACACCATAGCACACTTCCCAGGGCAACAGCTTGAGACAAAAAGTAAACAAACAAAAAATCAGATGTTCTGAGTATAGCTCTTATGTGTAAAGACAATGTCCCATATACTCATTCATTACTCAGACTCTTTCTTGGTGCCTTCATTAGGGGTGAGAATGACAGTAAACTGGAGTGAACTGTAAATTGGAGATAACCTATGTCAGAAGTCATACATAGCTGTATGCCATGAAAAACCTGTCTCCGATCCTAATCTTTCCCACCATTCTGAATGTCAAAGCAAGAACATTCCCACCTGTAGTACCTCCCAGGACAAAGACAGCACCAAAAACCAACCACCACACTGTCCAAGCTTACTTTGTTTGAGATTGTTCTCCAGAGACAAGACTTTGACTAGAAACAGAACATTCACTTTCATGAGTTTGCTTTATTGTATTCTCAACTTGGGCCTCGCCTCAAGCAGGCAAGCATACATTGAAGAATGCACTTTGGTACTGTTTAAATAAACAAGATATCATTCCACTTGATTCACACCATTTCCTTGTTGGCAGAAGCACCTCTTACAAAGCATGCCCTGTTCCAAGTCCTCTGTCTTTGTCAAAATGCTCTTTATGATCAGTCGAGGAGGAGGGAGCCAACAGTGGCAGTCTGCAAGGATCCAGGTGCCTTCTCCAAATCTAAAGCAGACAGCAGTTGGAATAAAATCAATACATTACCCGTTTTCTATTTCTAGGCAGGAGGGGGAAAGGCCCTTAGAACTATATTTGTACAGAGTTGAGAGTAAACAGTACATCAGGCGCAAAAAGAAAAAAAATTCATTAGTTGGCATTTAAGATAATAATTTTTTCCCTTTGCATAGTATCTATTCTCTCATTAGGACTTTTAGTGCTCTGCTGGAGCCCCAAGGCTACTGAGGAAGAGCCCCTGCGCCCACTGGTGGCACAGCTTTGGAAGTTGGGTAGTGCCAACAAGGGGGAATCTGCCTGCTGCCATATTAATTTAGAACCAGGGTCAACAGCCTAACAGCTTGATATCTAAAGTTGCCTCTTTTTACCTCATACTAAATGAGAAGAAAGGAAGATGAACCAGCCTTGCTTTGCCTTGGCTTTGTCCAACTTTTCTAATTTAAGACACCATTAGAGTTTGAGGTTGCCCCTCACAAGAGGAAGGCTGTGAGAAGTTGCCACCTTACAGACATTAAGGAGGCATTTACTCACAAGGGACAATGAGTACTTTTTCTTAGGAAGAAAATAAAATTACTGATAATACATAGAACAATCTGTACCTTCAGCCTTGGCACTTTTTCCTTGATTCACTTTGACTAATTTCTAAACTGGTGACCTCTATGTCTGAAAGTCTCTTTTCTACAATCTTGTTTAGAAATCTACAGTGGACAATGATCACATGTTAAGTTTCGTTTCTGGATCTTCTTTATAAGAAAATCTATTCAGCAGCTGCTTCCCCTAAAATCCACTTCTTCTACCCCATAGAACTGCTTTCTCATTGAGTCACAAGAATTCATAATCAACTATGTTCACTCTAAAGACCAGGGCAAAAGACCATTCTATGTGTTGATAAGGAAAAGACTAGCTGAGAAAGATTTAGGACCCTAAGAAGCTTCTAATTTTTAAAGAAAAATTAGCTGGCTTTTACCCTTTAATTAAAATTATTCAATTTAATTTATAATAATTAAAATGGCAATTATTCTAATCACTTTGTAAGACTCCACATTCGCATTTTCATACTATGGAGGTTTTCCCTACCTGGGCTGGGTGTACATTCAGGGGCTATAAGTACATTTTAATTCTAATTTTAAAAATTAAGACAAAAAAGCTGTTAAAAAGCCTCCTACCTAATCACTTGGGTGTTCCCCTCATTAGCAAATTTGTGTTTGTAAAACTTTGAAGACTAATCATTCAAACTATAGAAAACTACAGTATAAAATAGGGCACAGGACACTGGATCTCAAGTTCATTTGTTAAAAAAAGAAAGGGGTAGCACTTTAACTTGGATAATGTTTCTAGCTGTAACATTCTATGGTTATGATACAGCATTTGATTCTTCTTTCCCCCTTCCCTACTGGCCCTTCCATTTCAATGAAAAGCCAGGTAATTGGGGGAGATTAAAAGGCTACTAAATTGAGGTCTTGGCCTCCTCTGATCATGTCAGTGATCCACAACCTGCCTCATTTCTTGGAGCTTAACCTAAAAGCAGCTCCCAGAGAGATGTTATGTTATTGTCTTGTAATCACTAGAGGAGAAAATTCATTCTCCCATGGTAAAATTACTTACAAATGAAAAGCAGTGTTGCAGTCAAATTCACAAATGAGGTCTCCAAAATGTTCAATGCAGCTGGCTGGGTGCTGGACCATCAAAAAGAGCTATGAAAGAAATGGCCTTTCATAAGACCATTAACAAACTCTTCAGCCATACATACATTCAAGTACATTCCATTAAACATCAAGTTCCTCAAGAGCAGGGTTGAGTCACAAGTTTGAAGCTCAGGAAATGTCAAATGGAAAAGAAAGGATGAACAAACAGCCTCTCGTTCATCAGCTGCACCAGTCAGACACAATGGCAGCTTCCCGTTTGAGTCAGTTTGCAACAAGACAGCAATTAATTAAGCAGCTTTTTAATCTCTTAAGGGCATTTTTCCTTTAGGGAAAATGAACAAAAGACAGAAAAGATATTTATCACCAGTGCTTCCTCCAAGCAAAATTTTTAAATTAAAATCTTAAAAAAATAAATGAAGCCACTTAGGAAACATTTCCCTGGCAAGCCTCAGCCAAGAAGACTTAAACTTTTGCAAAAAAGAGGCAATTATATGAAAGGGGCCAGGGGCTGAATGCAATATCCCCTGATTTGATACCAACCCAATAGGCCCAGATAACATCTTCCAGCAGATACAATCAACAGGTCATGAACTTGCTCCCAAAGTGTCTTTCCCTTTCTAAGGAAAAGACTTGAAAGCCCCCTTCTGAGGATACCACATTTCTTGGATTTCCCATCAGAATGGCCTTTACCCTCCCACCTCTCATAATTTCCCCTTTAGTAAGAAAAAACACAGAATACATAATATATACAAGGAACAGAGTTAGACATGGGTAATTTGACGAATTGGACTTCAATGATTTGTGAGAAATATGTTTTGTGAAATAGCATCTCACTCTAGCTCACAAAACCTTCCCCAGCCTTCTATTTTGTCTTTTTCTTTCCCCTCGCCAAACAATCTATATCAACAACTCCATTTGTGACCAATTTCACAAGCAACAAGAAAAGGAAATTTTTCAGAAAGAAAATAGTTATTAAGGATGGGAAGCATCTTAAAATAGAGATAATATTTTGGTGGGTTTTTTTTCATCCTCCAAAGCCACATTGATTAAATTTTAAGCTTCTTCCCTCCTTTCCCTAAACCACTCTGCCTATATTTGAAATATGAATGCTCAATAGGAAGTTGGGATAACAATTCTCATTACCATCTTAGGCATCAGAGTAGGTCAAGGGGTAACGTCAGTAAGCTGCACCTAGTGTTTGAAATATTCACTGAATAAGTAGCTTTTCACTCTGCTCTTGTTGCTACTGTTATGCAGTTTCTTAAAATGAAAGTATTAATTTGGGAAAATATTTAAAATATATCTTTATCTATTAAAAATATTATCTTTTTACCAAAAACAAAAATCAATTTCAACTGAAAAGTGTTTTTCAAATTGTTGGAGATGTAGAAAAATGTGGCAAGTGGAAAAATAAGTGTCTTTGCTACTACCAACAATACTAGCCTTCCAATAACATTTACTACAAATCAAAAAGGAAATACATGAAATGGTAATAACTGATACGTTTTCTCTAAGGGCTTTTGGTAAGGTCACCTTCCCTGTCCTCTGCAGCCCAGCGCCAGATCTTCTATTTTGGGCACTAGCACACTCTCCAGTAGACTTTGGGGGCCATATGTTGCTGATAGGACCTAGAACTGAAGTGGCATGACCATAATGAGATTGAATGTATATATTTTAAACATACATCTGCACACGTGCACGTGTACACACAAAGAACACAAAATACATACATTCAGGTGAGTAATGCCCCACCAAAGTAGTCACCAAAAAGATTCCACATATCTCAATGATGACCACAATGCTTAAGACATCGCTGGAACTTCTCTTTGGGAACCATTTGGGAACTATGAGCTGCACAAGAAAATGGCTCTGACTGCTTTACAACAATACCTATTTATTACTCAAACCCTCTTGATATGCCACCTTCTTCCCCAGAGGCTTCAAAAAGCTCCTAGTTTCAAACTTAAAATTCACTCTCTTATAACCACAAAAGATTAAAGATTTACCACAAGATGAAGAGGGCTTAATCTCAGAAGTCTCAAAAAAAGGTGCTATGCTAACTCCCTTCAGCAGTAAATCCCTGTTCTGAATCCTAGCCTCTGCCTTTGTATTGTAAGAGGCTGGAATAGATGACCATTTGGGGAGTCTGTTTTTACATGTTTCTGGTCTTTGAAGACTGTTCCAGAAATGCTTTCACCAATGGCAATATCATTAGAAAAGCTATGCAGTATCCTGCTGGGGCTATTAAGGGGGACAACATACATTGGGATATATAAGCTCTGGAAGGTTTGTTAAAATGCCAGTCACATGACTTTATCATAACAGCTCACACATACACAGGGAATGCCAGCCTATCTGAGATTCCCTAAAATCATAATCTGAATCCCTATTCTCAATGAGCCCAGATGGGCAGAAGCACCAAGCACCACCAGGGATGCAAAAGACACATGGTGTCAGCTGCTAAGGAAAATAAACCCCAAAGGTCCATGGGACTGAATTTACCAGCTGCATCCAGCTAGATACCTTGATTCCATAGTATGGAGTTTCAGCATTGTTCTTTGCCTGACATCAGGGTGAATCTTCAGGATTTTAGATCAACATTGCAGATAACCCTTGGCCAGGTGAAAGTAATAATGAAGCAATAAAGCCTGATTGTAGTATATTTCACAGGCTAGGACCGCCCCCCCCCCCAGAAAAACAGAAGGCCGAAAACTGTAGGGCATGGGAATAACTGCAGAGTGTGTTTATGCTATTGTACATCTTGTCCATCTTCATTATTTACATGTAGAGGTATCCAATGCCCAGCCTTACTTCCCTAGGAGGCCACTGGGTTGTAGTCCATTTAGGAAACATGTAGAAAATCCACTGGATTTTGCTGTCAGGATAGCCATTGGTCAGTCTGAGCTATGCTTCTTAGTAGTTGAGAGAACATGAACATTTGCACTGTAGTTTCATCATCTAAAAATGGGGCTAATATCACTTAAATGTTAGGTCTGTTGGGAAGACCAAATTAAACGTCTATTAAGGTGCTCTGTCAACTACACAGCATTGATCAAAAGTTATTTTTTAAAACAGAGCATGTAAATTAACTTCTATAGAAGCATAAGCTCAACTGATTTAAGTAGGTATTTATTTGTGGTATGTGGCAGGAAAGAGGGGAACCTAATAATCTATGATGTTGGATCTCCCAAAGAACTATAATACTTTTCTACTTTGAAATAGATGAAATTAATTTTTATCTGCAAGGCTGATTTAAAACAACACCCTGTTGAAAGAAGTCAGGGGGTCTAACAGTTTGAGAAGGTATCTCCTCTTTCCTCTACCATTTCTGTCTGAGAAGGTATCTCCTCTTTCCTCTATCATTTCATGCTCCTGAACGAGGCCATTCCAAATCTCATTCCAAGTAGATGCTGTGGAATTTGGCCCAGAAGCCCTCAGGGGCAGGTCACTCAGGGAGTGAGGATTACTTCTGGCCCAGGGCACAGAGAAACAGAGATGCAGTTCCCTTGGATATTGACTACAGAGGCCCTGTAACCTCTCAGAACCATATTAGACAGTGTTCTGCCATCATAAGAAAACTAAAGTGAAAACACTCAGCTCTTCAGGATAAATGATCAAGGCCAAAGACCTCTTAAAAATAGGCAACACTGTTCATTAAGCACTACTTGGCCCCAGTCACATTGCTGGACCGTAGGAGATACTGATCCACACTGCCCTTTCGCCGACTCACAGTCCGCCTCTCATTGTCAAACATTCGCTGCAACTGCAGGGCCAGCTGGCGGTCCTCTTCTTCTTGCTGCAGTTTCTGCTCCATCTCTTGCAGTGCTGGGTCTGTTGGGACCAGACCCACCTCACCACTGGTTGGCCGCAATTTCTTAAGGGAGCCATTTTGTTCTAAGTGCTTGGTCTTACAGTGTCTTTTCCGACCCCGGCGCAAGGAAGGAAGTGGTTCCTCACTTAGGCTGTCTACTAGAACACCATTAGCCAGATCAAAATGATTTAATGTCTTCAACTGTTTCTTTGTTTTGAGGACTCCACCCAAAACACTGTTTTTGGGTAGTACTGAATTAACTGCTGAGATTTTCATGGTTCTGCTTAGACAGGTTTTGTCTAATTTGGCATCTGGCGTTGACCCTGATCCCTCAAATGGTTCCCTCTCCAAAGAATTTCCACCAGCACCTCCTTTGAGTTCTGAGGAACAGCAGGTTTCCAATGGGATCTCTGTGCTCCTTTTATTATCACTGTCCTGTTCTTCTTTTGTTTGGCTAACAGAGGGGAGATAATCAGGGTCAGTGGAGGTGGGTTCAGTATACTCAGAGAGTACTTGCCCACTGGATAGTCTTGTATTTAAAGCCAGAAGTGGCTTCTCTTTGCTAGAATGGATAACTTCAGAGCCCAGTAGGTCTTCCCCTGTTTCAGGAGCCAGGGAGGTGAGAGTGGCTTTTGAAAGTGTCTTTTTGAACTGCCGCTCCTGAAAGATCTGTTCCCATTTTTTGAGGATCCGTGGACTGGCCTCATACGAAGTCTGCTTCTGTAGGCTTCTGTTTAGGTTGCGGGGTGTTGATTTGATGATGAGGGGACTTAGCACACGGCCATCAGGGAGTCTCTTAGGAGGTGTGCATGGTGAGCAGACAATGGGTTTGAAATGGTTCAGTTCTTCAGAGATGCTGTCATTGCTCTCAGGGCTGATAGAACGCTCTGGCTTATGCAGAGAAGCCAAGGATGAGAGGGAGCTGAAGGGTAGACGCTTTTCAATAGTTAAGTCAGGGGCCGAAAGGCAGCGGTTGTTTTGAGTAGAAAAGAGGACACCAATGATGGGGTTGGTGGCTGGAGTCATAGCTGTCACCTGAAAGAGATTAAAATGATTATATATACATATATACTTTCCTTCACAATTCCTTTATGATGGTGCAGGGATAGGGAAGAGAAAGACAAGAAGTGGGATGAAGGGTAATATGAGCCTGAGAAATGAGGAAAATCACCAACCTGGAAAGCATACTATTTAGCAGAAACTCCTACACACTTTAAAAAATAAAGCTGACAATTTGTAGGGAAAAAGTCCCTTATTTAGAGTTTTAAAAAAGGTTTCTCTAATGGCCCTAATTCTGTGATCTGACACCTAATTCAAATCCTTTTCCTTCACATCTGTAGACTTCTCCAACATAACATGCCTGGGCTCATTGTGCTGCTTCTCATCTGGACTAGATTCTTTCCTCAGGTACAGAGGTGCTATGGGGGCAGCATTAGCAAGCCCTGGAAGCCTGTGGCTGAGGTATACCTTGGCTTTGTTGGTTGGAGCTGCTCTGAGTCTGCTCTTCACTCTTTCTTGAGCTGTGTCACTACAGCTCTGACTCCTCTCCACCTTAGAGTTTAGCTTCCTAAAAAATAAAAGATAGTCAAAATTAGTCCATCTACTAGTTAAGAAAAAAGGATGACAATCTCTTTTGTGTTTTCTAAGCCACTCCCCAAGAAAGGTAATTCCCTTGGGTAGCTATAATAGAAAATGAGTTAATTTATTAACCAAATGAACTCTAAGAACAAACTCAGTCAAAAGTGAGAATGCTCCAGAGAGGACATTTCATTCAAGCTTTTGTTTCTAAACTAGATGCTGCCAAGATGAGGCAAGACCAGTAGCTATTTTGTCCATGCTTAGAGATATAGGGATACTTCACCTGCCTTAATATGGTGAATATAGCATTAAATCCCCTTCACAAACAATAATTTTTCCTTTTATTAGACCCAAACCTCTCCTCAAACAACCTAACTCAGCCATGAAACAAATACTGAAGTACTTAGAAAAATGCGCAGCCGTGCACTCGATCTTTATGTAGGAAGTCAAAATTAAATGTAACCTATCCTTTAATCTAGCGGTTCTCAACCTGTGGATCATGACCCCCTTGGGGGTCAGAAAACACATATTGCTGATGGTCTTAGGAACCAAGACGCAGCTCCTCTATCCGTCTCCAGGCGGGTCCACCCACATGCAGATATGCCCACATACGAGTACCCAGTGGTACTCACCATGGGTACCCATACAGTACCCATCTGTATTAAAGGGTCGCGGCATTAGGAAGATTGAGAACCATTGCTTTAATCCATTACATTCGAGCTTTCAAAGACCTGAATCCTGGTGAATTAAGAGATTTCAAAAACAAATGATTTTTGCCTTGTTTATTACATGGTGAGTTTATAACCCAAACCAAACTCCATAGGACTTGTATACTGAAGTCCACTACACTATAGCATGGTAAGTGCTATAGGAAAGCAGTTATACGGTTAAACTTAGTGTTTTCTTCTAAGAGTTTTGGCCCTTACATTTAGGTCTTTGATCTATTTTGAATAAAATTTTGTATATGGTGTGAGGTTAGGGTCGAACTTCATTTTTTTGCATGTGGATGGATATCTAGTTATCTCAACATCACATGTGAATCTTAACTGTATTAGAATTATATAGAGATGACTATTACATACCCCATACAGTATAAGAAGGAATACTTAATTTCTTACCTTTATTTCCTACTCTCCAACTCTTGTCTAAATATATGTCTGTTCATCAAGCATTTATCATACACTTACTATATGCCAGACACTGATGGGTACTATCCAGGCACTGGGAATACAGAGAAGCATGACACACAGTCTAGGTCTTCAAGGAATTAGAATCCAGTGGCGCAGACAAATAAATACAGTGAAAGAGTATAACAAAAAAAGTATGCACATGAGGCAGAAATGGCAAAAAAAGAGTTGTCAGTATCTTGAGATGGAGTGAGCCCAGGATTGGAAAAGCCTTCCGGTAGCATGTGCATTTTGAAGGATAAATAAGAACCTGTCATGAGTCAAGGTGACTATGGAGCTATGCAGATGATCCTAAACAAATTATTTCCTCAGTTGATTCTATCTAGCTATGGAATGGAATGCATCATATCTACTCTTTTTTTATTACTGTTGAGGATTCATTGAGGGTACAGAAAACCAGGTTACACTGATCACATTTGTTAGGTGAAGTCCCTCTTATAATTGTGCCCTGTCTCCAAGAGGTGTGTCACACATCATTACTCCCCATCTCTATTTTTAATGTGGCAAAAGATTTGCTTTTAAATTTTTACTCTATCAGGATCAGCTCAGGGAAAACTAATAAAGGAGGTAAGATACATTTCTAGGGTACCTCTCCCCTCTCTGTCTCTCGGGAAAGCCTGTACTACCCCATCCACAGTGGCTTCTATTCCAAAATTTCTGTGTTATTTCTCCCATTCAAAACACTCCCATCCTATGTCTTATGGCTACATAGCATTAATAAGAGAAAGCAAAAGAACTTTCTTACCAAGAAAGTTCAATGCTTAACACAAATGTACAATGTCAGTACTGTACACTCTTGTGGAAAACACACTTTGGTATAGATAGGAAATTTCAACATCAACCTGTAAAACCTTAATGGGCTTTTTAAAGTTTTTAAACTGAAATTCATTTGGACTCCTAGAAATCAACAACTGTCAGTAGTACTGAAGGCCTAATTAAGCTGAAAACTAAGCTTCTTGTGCCAAATAATTAACCACATGTGAATGCAAAGAAAAAGTTCTTTTTTGGGAGGGAGACAGAGTCTCACTATGTCACCCTCAGTCGAGTACTGTAGCATTATAGCTCACAGCAACCTCAAACTCTTGGGCTTCAGGGATTCTCTTGCCTCAGCCTCCCAAGTAGCTGGGACTACAGGTTCCTGCCACAACACCTGGCTATTTTGTTGTTGTTGTCATTGTTATTTAGCAGGCCCAGGCCAGGTTCAAACCTACCAGCTCTGGTGCATGTGGCCAGCACCCTAACCACTGACCTACAGGCACCAAGCCAACGGAAACATTCTTGAAAGAAATTAAAAGTGCTACTCCAGTGAACACATGTATGATAAGAAAGTAAAACAACAGCCTAATACGGAGAAAGTTTTAGTAATCTAAGTAGAAAATTAAACCAGCCACAAAGTCTCCTGAAGCCAAGGCCTAATTGAGAGCAAGGTTCTAACTTTTTTCATTTCTATAAAAGCTGACAGGAGTAAGGAAGTTGCAGAAGAAAAGCAGGAAGCCAGCAGAGATTGGTTTACAAAGGAAACTGATCTTTCTTTTAAGGAAAGAAGCCCTCTCCCAACAAAAATGTTAAGGTGAAGCAGCAAGTGCTGATGGAGAAGCTGCAGCAGGTCATCCAGAAGATCCAGCGAAGATCATTCATGAAGGTGGGCTACGCTCAACAACAGATTTTCAACACATACAAAATAGCCTTCTAAATGGAGGTGCCTTCTAGGACTTTCATAGCTACGGAGAAGTAAAAGCTTCAAAGGGCAGGTTATTTCCTTGTTAGGGGTTAACGCAGCTGGTGACTTAAAAGTTGAAGCCAATGTTTCTGAAAATCTTAAGGCCCTTAAGAATTATTATACTAGCATTAATGTACACAGCTATAAGTTAATAATAAAAAAGAATTATACTAAATCTACTCTGCCTGTGTTATTTAAATGCAACACCGAGGACTAGATGACAAAACATCTGTTTACAGAATGGTTCCCTGAATATTTTAAGCCCCCTATTGAGACAGCTCAGAGAAAAAGATTCCTTTCAAAATATTAATACTCATTGACAATGCATCAGGTTACTCAAGAACTCTGATGGAGATGTACAAGGAGATTAACGTCTTCCAGCCTGTAAACACAACACCCATTCTGCACAGCAGAAGGTGAGCAGCCTCCCCATATCCCTCACACCACCGCCTGAGCTCTGCCTCCTGTCCCATCCTCTACCATTCCTGGACTATGGGAAAATGGTCTTCCATGAAACTAGTCCCTGGTGCCAAAAAGGTTGGGGATCGCTGCTCTAATAGATCTGGCAAAGTAAATCACAAACCTGGAAAAGATGCCATTAACATTCGTGATTCATAGGAAGAGGGCAAAATATCCACATTAACAGGAGTTAAGAAGAAGTTAATTCCAACTTTCATGGATGACTTTGAAGCATTCCAGACTTCAGCAGAAGAAGGAACTGCAGATGTGGTGGAAATAGCAGGAAAACTAGAATTGGAAGCGGAGTCTGCAATGTGACTGAATTGCTACAATCTCACGATGAACCTTTAATGAATGAGTGGTTGCTTCCTAATGGAATACGAACAAAGAAAGTGGTTTCTTGAGATGAAATCTACTCCTGGTGAAGCTATTGTCAACACTATTGTAATGGTAAGAGTTTAGCATATTATTACATCAACTTAGCTGATAAAGCAACAGCAGGATTTGAGAGGATTGACTGCAATTTTGAAAGAAGTTCTACTGTGAATAAAATGCTACCAAACTCTATCTATGCTACAGAGAAATTGTCAGCAGAGGAAGAGTCAGTCAATGTGGCAAACTCCATTATTGTCTTATATTTAAAAACTGCCACAGCCACCTCAACTTTACCTTCACCTACCACCACCTTGATCAACACCAACATCTTTCACCAGTGAGCCTTCAACTCATTGAAGGCTCAAACAATTGTTAGAACTTTTTGGCCACAGGGATTTTTATTTTTATTTTTTTTTTGAGAAAGAATCTCAAGCTGTCACCCTGGGTAGAGTGTCATGGCAGCACGGCTCACATGAACCTCAAACTCCTGGGCTCAAGTGTTTCTCTTGCCTCAGCCTCCCAAGTACCTGGAACTACACGTGCCGCGCCACAACGCCCGGCTATTTTTTGTTGCAGTTGTCATTGTTTAGTTGGCCCACACAGGGTTTGAACCCTCCACCCTTGATGTATGTGGCTGGTGCTGTAACCACTGTGCTACAGGTGCCGAGCCAAGCCATAGGTATTTTTAAATTAAAGTATATTATTTTTCTAGGCACAATGCCATTGCACACTCTAATAGACTGCAGTATAGTTTAAATGTAACTTGGGGGGGGGGCGGGGAGGGGTTTGAACCCGCCACCTCCAGCATATGGGGCCAGTGCCCTACTCTTTTGAGCCACATATGGGAAACCAAAAGATTCTTGTGACTCACTTTCCTACAATATTCACTTTATTACAGAGGTCTGGAGCCAAACCTTTAATATCTCCAAGGCATGCCTGTACCTTATTTGTTACCCAGTTCCTCCATTAGTGCCCTTTTTTCCTAGTAGACCATTTTGATTTTCTTCTTACATCTTTTACTATGCATGTTTTAATCTTCTTAGAGGTTTCCCTCCTAAGGTACCCTAATAATATCTTAATTCATAGCAATCTATTTCAAATTAATACAAATTTAGTTCAATAGTGCCCAAAACCTAGCTCCTATGTAACTGTCCCTTTTATGTTGTCACAAATTTTATATTTTTATACATTGTGTGCCCATCAACACAGATTTGTAATTTTTATGTATTAATCTTTTAATATTTTTTA